AGGCAGTGTATTACCTATAACCTTCCTTTTTTACCAAAAATCGACTGCACCAAAATTTCTTGGGAAAAAAACTTTTTCTTATTAATTTTGGTGCGTAGAATCCAAAACGATTCGTACTTTTTCGATTAGACGACTCAATCAAAAGTTATGGGCAAAAAACCAATTTCGACAAAAAATTCAAAGAGCTGTAACTTTTGATCTAGTTGCTCGATCTTGGAACTGTTTGAAATTATGGATTCTACAGGCCACGTTCTATAAGAAAATATTTTTGTCCGGTCGATCTGAGACAATTTTTTTTTCGGACCAAAAAAAAGGCAGTGATTATTAACCTTCCTATTTTACAAAAAATCGACTGCACCCAAATTTCTCGGGGAAAAACTTTTTCTTATTAATTTTGGTGTGTAGAATCCAAAACGATTCGTACTTTTTCGATTAGACGTCTCAATCAAAAGTTATGGGCAAAAAACCAATTTCGACAAAAAATCTAGTCGCCCGATCTTCGGACTGTTTGAAATTATGGATTCTACAGGCCACATTCTATAAGAAAATATTTTTTTCCGGTCGATCTGACAGTTTTTTTTTGGGCCAAAAAAAAGGCAGTGTATAACCTTCCTTTTTTACCAAAAATTCTGACAGCGCCAATCGATAGCCCTGGTCGAGACCTTTCCAACGAGGGGTTGGAAGGCATATCTACGACGCGCCGTTCTCGAGATATTATGGTTTGTCAGAATTTTTGGTCGAAACTTCAAACCGGAATATGTTGGAAAGGTCTCGGCCAGCGCTATCGATTGGCGCTGTCAGAATTTTTGGTCGAATATCCTTATCATGGACACAGTGTATAGTAGAGTACCTATATCTACTGGTTTGTTTATTTTGTTGTTGTTATTAGTTTACATCTTTTTAAAATTGTATTTCATTTATTAACGAGCTCCAAAGCGAGTTCATGATTTTGGACTCTCTGTCCGTCCGTCCGTCTGTGTACATGATCTCTTGCGAACGGCTTCGAATTTTCCAATTCGGTTTTCAGTATTATGCATCACAGAATGAAGGACTGAAATTTATGTGACTGTGCCTCAGGAGCTCGTTCGCTATATTTGTTACAAGTTTATTTAGGTAAGTACCTACACCATAATTGTAACCATGGCCTATACTCTTATTAGGCCATGATTGTAACTGTCTTCTACTAATGTGTCCGATAATCTGAGAATGTCTGTTGGACAAATACTATTAAAATTCTAGAATTTTTCTTTCAAAATATGTACCTACATATGTAAAATTATACAGGGTATTTCATTTAAAAAACTTAACATATGGTATGGTCCCAGTGCTTTCATTCAAAGGCTGCAGTATACCTACCTATATTTAAATCCTAAGTGAGCTTTTACGAGATATCTTTTTATTACATTGCTTAAATGAAATTTAAGTGTGGCATCCTCTAAAGATGGCTCTCCCCATGCGCTATCGATACTATATCCTCTTATTTAGTTCCTATTGTATTATTAACGATTACATATTTAATATGTCTACATTTGTGGTGTAATGGACAAAGTGATATATCAAATTTTTTGAGATACCTACAAATCCATTATTTTCTTAGCGCGCAAATTTAACCGATAGGAGATTTTTAATGCACTTGAAAAAAAGTCCACTACCTTAAGCAATTAAAGGGATGTTTATTGTTTGCAGTGTGAGGTAAGATTAACTTAATCGATCAGTAGACATCCATAGATAAGATACTTATTTTCAAAATATAGATACAATGGCTTCATTTAATCAATATATATGACACATGAGATTATTCACGATTAATATTAGTCCTTGGCGGTCGTCTGGCATGCATTCAAGGTAACGCTTTATGTCAGATCAGAACTTGCACCCAACAGTAAAAGAATTAAACAAAGTAGTACCTATCTGTAATCAAAAGGATTGAATAACATTAATTTCTTTTATTGACTAATCCTAGATATGATTATTACCAAGATTTCATTTCAATAGCGCTTTCTAGTCAAAATCGGCTGAAGATGTGCTTGCCAGTAAAAATCAACCGAAGTTAGAAGGAGATACGAACGAGTAGAAATATTTTGGCGTGCAGGAGCTATCTACTAAAACACTATAAAAGTCTCAGATCAATTTCTTCAGTAATAGGTAGTTTGAAGAACGGATAGACGGACAAATTTGCAGCTCCTAGTAAAACTATATAGTTCCTAATGAATCTGACTGACCGCATTTGTTTTATCAATCGTCACCATTACCAAAGACACAATTTTATTTTTTACTCATTAGATGTGCCACTATTCACCAGCCACCGCATATAAATTTGACGCTAATCCCGTCAACCAACTATATAGTTGGGTGGCCATAGTTAATAAATCGCAAGTCTAACGGCATTTAATGAGCCATTTTGGAAACGTGCATTTATAAGGGTAAAAATGTCTGCTGAACCCGAATTCGGATGTTGCCAAGCTGATTTTTGGCTAATTTCAAAATGGCGGCCAAATATATAAATTTTTATGCCAGACACATTTTACATAGTTTTTCGGATTGAGGTGTTAAAAACATACAGGAGGCACAGAAAATTGCGAATCTTATATATTGGGTACATTATACAGCCACACGGTAACAATATAGAGATCATTCTGACGGCAAATGTATTACCTATATTTCGTTCAAAAATTTTAACGGAACTTAAATTTCTTTATCATTCTGCTCATTTTTTGTACGATTGAAGCAGTCGCCAAGACACTAGATATTTGTGCACTTTTAGTTCATAGCATAATTTATTGAAAGCCAAGTTTTTGGGAGGACTAGTCTGACTATTCGATTTTTCAGTGTCCCTTATCGCATTTGCGAGACAATATGTATGGTACAAAATGTCCCCGGCAACAGCATCATGAGAAGATGCAACTAACTCTACGCCCTTCTGTACCCACTGCACCCAATGTAAATTTCCATAAGAGCGTCCGCCTAAAAAACTCAAGTTGTTTTTGAAAAATAAAATTTTATATTAATAATAAATTTAGACTTTTATCTACAAAATGTTCGGACTATTTTTTTAAAAAAAGTTTATAGCAACTCAATACCGGCTGTTTAAAGATTAGATATTTTTCACCGATTATTGCTCTAACCTGTTTTTTTGCTTTACTCTTGATCAAGACGATTTATGGAAAAAGTAAACCGACAGTTTTCTAAATAAGTTACTTTGAACATTACCCCAAAAAATGAAATCATATTTTTTGTAAATAAGGTCTGTATCTTGGCGGGCGGTAAATAAACAATTTGAGTGTAGCAAGTGGCGCCGCTGCACTGTGTCGGCGGGAACCGAGCGGTAAACCACCTAGTTAATTCGGTGTACAAATAGTAGTTAATAATCAAATTAACTTTTAATGTAGTTAATATGTTCTGTAAATGCAGTTAATTTCAAGTTAATTCAGTTAATGCTAAGTTAATGTAATTAATTTACATTTAATGACATTTAATACTACTCGAGATATACTATAGGTAGTGGCTATAGCATGCGAAAAACCAAATTTTGAACCTGGTGTTAGATTTGCTTTTATTCCAAGTGCCTATGTATCAAATTTTATTCAAATACTTTCGTATATAAAAAAGTTTGCAATTCAAAAAGGGCAGTGTGAATGTGGAATTGATTAGGCTCAACTTTTGCCATTGCATATTATATGGCTAAAACTATGCCCTCGACTATGCCCATATTGAGTTTCATGCAATTTGGTTTATAAATAACGGAGATGTCAAAAGGGCCCTCTTTATTTTTTTACGTAGGTACATTGCCAATTCACGAACTCCAATCTATAACTCTGATAAAGAATTCAAATGCAAAATTTCATCATAATCGGCGGTCCATTCGTTTTCGAGGTATCGTGCTAATGAACAGATCTCGGAACAGATGGACAGGCACCGCAAAATTATAAACTCTCTACGTCCTAGGAGATCGTCAATAATTTGAAAATGTTGGTTATTTAAAATATTTTTGCTATAGTGTTTTATAAAGAATTTATTATGTAATAATACACAGGGTGTTCCATATCAAAGTCACATTTTTGTTATCATCTGAAAAATGCGATGTGGTTTTGTTTTTTTAATTGCAGATTTGAATTCATTGGAAAAAATACGCAATTTTTATTTATATGTAGTTGGAAAAAACCTAAATACTTACTAACGGTTATTAAAAAGCACAAAATTTAATAACAAACAAAATTTGTCGAGGAAAATGTAAAACACTAATTTAATTAATTCACAGCTTTTTTGGGACACCCTATACCTATATTACCACATGATATTTTCCTACATTTTCCGAACTAGCTATGAAGTTAATTAACCAACTCTTACGTATATGTAAGTAATAAATTATGGAAAACAATTTAATACTAAATAGTACACAATACAGTAGATAGTGGCGCCATCGTGCTGTATTTGTGAACTAGTGCAAAATTCGGCCTGGCAACATCCAGAATCGGATTCAGCATATTTTTTTACATCTAAAATACCATGTGGCCAAAATGGCTCATAAAATGCCGTTAGAACTAAGAAACAGAGTCGTTTTTCGATTTGGCCACTTAACTAATACCATCCCATCAAAAGAGGCGCTGTCAAATCACGTTTCGAATTTTTGTTTATATGGGGAATCATATTTAGCTTGAACTTCCAAAGGTGACTTGACGTCAATCCTTTTTTGATTACCCATTATTAAAGCATCACTACAACGCATTCGCACCTCCACATGCGGTATGGTCACAAGATCCCAATGGTATGTAGGGTGACCTAAAGCAGCGATCTAAAAATAAACGTGCAACCGCAACCGATTCGATTAATACTGAGACTCGACAGCAACTCCGTACCCGGGTGAGCAGAAAGATGCGATAGATGACGGATAGGGTGAGATACATGGAAACTTGTTCAATAGTTAACCTTTATTGAATATGTACCTATGTACATAATAAATAAAAAAATACTTAGATATTTCATGTTAATACTGTATAAAGTGAAATGCGAAAGTGCAACAATAAATAATTAACAATATTTGCATTCACTAGTAACAATATACAAATGGAAAGTAAAACTAGAATATCACACATGATCCTGATAAACTATACGTCTTATAGATAGTCTATTTAAGAAACTAACATTATTTAACAGCTTAAAGGAACGTTTACAATTGTTCATTTGACACGCACAAATAATTGACTGCTCTCTGAAGCAAAATAGAAAAATTGTAAAGCATTATTAAGTTTTTCTTGGAACACGCTTATTTTTTGTCAACTCTAACCTACTTTGAAATAAACAGCCTGAACTAGTCGTCTTTTAATGTAAATGCTAGGCATTATATAAGGCTTTCATCTATTGTCGTTACTACCTAAGTTATAGCCCCAACAATTTTTTTTTTTGATATTGAAGTGTGGTCCCCTACCATTATACCTATTGTTTCGAAGAAATTTGAAGCGATAATGACAGCTCGAGTATCAGACCATGCCGAATCCCTCGGTCCCTTCGCTGATCGCCAAGAGGAGGCATTTTTCGAACTGCTCGTAGCTGTCGTAGTCGGGCAGACACAGTTGATTGAAGCTGAAACTCGGGAGTTGGGCATCGAAGGCGATCGTAAAATTCGCGCGCTTACCAAGTGTGGGCGGTCGGTAGATTGCCGAAAGTGGGCGCGGCCGTAATTTGAAATCGAGGACTGAGCTCTTTGAAGCCGCCGGGAGGCAACTGCGAGCAGCCGGTTGTGAATTGCAGCAGGCGCGCCATTTCCTCCTGCGTGAAGTTGGAGACGGCCGCCCAGAACCAGCCGACGATGCGGCGAAACTCCACCGAATTTCCGTTTATGACGTGGTTCGCTTTGAAGTCCGCTATGGAATAGTGACCGGTTCCACATAGTAGCAGCTAAAAAATCACATGGGAGTAACCTGTGCATCCAAAACTGTTTTTAATTACAACAGTAGGCGCGACAGTACAACAGCAGTAAAACAAAAAGTTACAAAGTAATAAAAAACAATGGTGTTGTAAAGAATTGATACTTTTTTTAATGGAGGGGGGGGGGTCTGTGATTCCCATTCTCCCTCTTCCCTTCTCAAGTCTCCACTGTAACCTAAGTTAAGATGACGCTTTGTCAACATTTTTTGTTTTACATGATCCCCTCTCGGTTAAAAAAATTCAAAATGGCGCACAGTCCCACAGAAGTTAGAAAGGTCAATTTTATGTCAAGAACATGCGTTTTCTACCTTATCCCCCCCTCGGAATTTTAAATCGATTTCTGAAACCGTTTCCAATTAGAAGGAGGTGGAACTGTGTCCGCACCAACTAACCCAAAAAAGTGCACGTGTGATGTTTCACAATGTAAAGGATTGAAAATTTTACCCCCACGTTGGTTACGCCTATGATGTTGACTTTTCTTACTGACCTTACCTATATTTTAATAAATAATGTGTCGGTATATCCGAAACTTAATTGGGGTAGATTTATGAGAATACAATTTGGCAACGTTGTGCTCAGATAAAGCGCCCATTTTAAATATCCGATCAAGATTAAAATCGATACATTACCTGAATTATACTTTGAAATCAATAAATACTGTCAAATGCAGGTAATGTATTGTCGGCTTTATTACAATTATATCAGTGGCGTACGTAGAAATGTATTCTGGGGGGGGGGGGGCCTTAAACAAGTTCGTGGCACAACAGTCACCCAGTGCGTACTAGAAGGGGGAGGGGGGGGGGGGTAATAAATAGAAATTGGGTTGCAGGTTGCTGATGCTGGTAGTCATTTATCTATTTATTATTGTACAGGCGAAAAAGATTAGATTAGAACGGTATTTTATTTCTTACTGCTGACAGGCCCCTTTATTGCTTTTGCTTTAATTAGTCAACGAAAACTTTGAATAATAGGTATATTTATGGGCAAAAAAACCAATTTCGACAAAAAATTCAAAGGGCTGTAACTTTTGATCTAGTAGTCCGATCTTGGAACTGTTTGGAATTATGGATTCTACAGGCCACATTCTATAAGAAAATATTTTTTTCCGGTCGATCTGAGACAATTTTTTTTTCTGGGCAAAAAAAGGCAGTTATCCAAATTTTTTTTGCAGGTTTGGTCAGTTTTTGCGCTGTAAAAAGTAAAAAGGGCTTCTTGTTCTTTTTACAATGAACATAAGGCAGATGGAAGAAAAAGTAAAAATAGACAATTATGGTACTCTGATTGCCTTTATTAAACAGAAGAATCTCAGTTCTCGGTTGACTTAAGCCTCATCTACTACACATATCGTTCTGTCCAGTGACAACACATGCAATGTGACCGGGTTAATGGATTATTGAGCACTAAGTAATTACGATTTTATTTGATTTGTTTTATCGAACGCTTGTAGCGTGGAATGTGTCAACGGGTCTTAAATGCGCCATTCTTACTTTACATCCTTATTGTTTCTATTTGTCAAATAAATGTTTTTAAAACCAGCCCAAATTACGAACCTGAGCGAGTTAAGATAAATTTTGCTGGTGTGACCCAGGAGTACGTTAGGTGTAATTAAAACTCTTTAGTAGGATTCTTATTTATATCAAACGGCTATGCGATCCAGATCAGACGAAGCTTTCTAAATGCTTTCCAACATCCTCTGAACGCTTTCCAGAATATTGAAAAGCTTTCCAAAGTCATAAAAATATTCAAAGGCCTTTTAGGTGCATTTTTCAACCTTACATGATCTCTATAGAAGTTTCTATCGCTTTCCAGAGCTTTTGAGTTTCTTTAGGCGGCTAACATTTAAATGAGTTGATTGAAAATCGCCCTCTAGTTGCCTTTTAGTTCTAGAAATGACATAAAATGAACTGCAAAGCTCTGGAAGAAGCTAGAATTCGTTTTGAGAACGTTTGCAGGGCACCTAGAAAGTTTCAAGGTTTCAAAGTTCTAAAAAAAACACGCCAGGAAACCCTGGAAAGGCGCTCTGGAAAAGTTCGAAGGTTCTAAGAATATCCTCTAGGGTTTTCCGAAACCGTTTTATTCATTTTCAAGTCCCCTAGTCCTTTCCAGATCTTTTTAACTATTTTTCAGAACGTTCTGGATTTTCCAAGGTTTTCCCTAAGGTATCTCCAAAACTGTCTACGTATTGTATCATTGGAAAGGGTCTAGAAAGTTGGGGCAGTGAATGAATCAATCCTTGGGGGACAAATTTGAAAATGCTTAAAATTAGATTAATATTGGTATTGAAAGTCGTCGGTCAATGAATTATAGAGATCTTGGTTCAGATCAGTCTCCAAGTCAATGATCAATTGATACAAAGGTTCAGAGTCATCAATAAATGAATCCTGTTAAACCTGAAAAGGATTTGTCATCCTCCAGGTCAAATTGGGAACTCGACATAGCTAACAGATTTATTAATTTTGAGGAGATTCACTTAAAGGGAGGTGCATTTGGGAGTTCACATACAAAATTAGACAAAAAATAAGAGGTGCACTTACCTCTAATTCATTTTCGTCAAAAATACTTAATAGATTGTCGGGTATCAGCTCGTTAAGGCCTTTCAGAAATGCATCAACTTCGTCTCGCACGCTTGTGGCGAGTCGAAATTGAGCTAAAGCATCCAAATATCGATGTTTGGTGACGTTAGTAACTTTTATTTTCGCTCCACTAGGCACGAGCTCGACCGTTTTTAACAACTGCCCTCCTCCGTCATACTCCTCCTCGACGAAATATAATTCCGTATCAATACAGTCGATGTCATTCTCCAAAAGATACTTTATCTTTGTCAGATACAGATCGGGATCGTCCTGTTCGAAGTACTTGTAATGAACACGTAAACCGATGACCTGAGCGAGAAAAGATCGAGTGAACCTCGCCCTGACCAGCTGCCGGTACGAGCCACCGAGGGCGCTTTCGTAAAGGCATTTGCCGACAATGCGGCCCGCGAATTCGAAGTGACGCAGCTTTAAATGTGACGGTCGATGCGAGTTTGGGTGCACCAACGACTGTTGACCCTCGTAAAAGCTCTTGAATAGCCCGAAGCGTGAGTCGAACAGCTGAGAGCAAATCAACTCGAACCACTCGCGACGGACGCCTCCCCAATCGACGCCCTGCTCTCCTTGGAAGGTAATTTCGAAGTTCCGACACCAATCGGATACCGAAAAGCTTTTGGTTACTTTCATGCTGGACTCGAGTAACTTCTCTCGGTTTGCTTTCATTGATAACTTATCGTGGTAATGCTTTTGGTGATATTTGCGAACCTCGTGATAGAAAAAGTCCTGTTTGTCGCGGAAGGTTTCAGATCCGCCCATATTTTTCAGTAGGAAGTTCGTGAAAGTGGCCGCGATTACGTTGCGCTCTTTCGAAGTCAGTTCGATTTTCGGTTGGCATCCGTCGTCAATAAGAAAGGTGCCCCCCAAACCTTCCACCATTTTCGTAGGACTTTCTGGCAGGAAATGAAACTGCAAGATCGTGACTGAAAAAGTTGTGCGAGAGTTTGGGTAACGTCATACCTTTGTGGACGGACACAGCCTGAATGTAAAGAGGCGTTTTGGAATGAATTTCAAAATCATCTCTTTGACAATAAGTTGTTTGGGTGATACGTAACAGAGCACCTTCTTCGGTTTGATTAATTTCTCCATGTTGATCCCTAGCAGTTTGGCCTCGTAGCATACGTTGTGATTTTTCGAGGCGATATTTTTATGTACCAGCGTCGCGTCGATACCTAATCAGAATTCATTAAAAGAGAGTTTAAGGAGTCTAAAATACATACTGTTAAGTACAATTATGTCAAAATCTCCGTTGTGCAACTCCATATTCCTATAGAAAATTGTGGCGTGATAGCATCCCTCGTAGAAGAATTTTATTTGAAATGTTAAACGAAAGCTTTGCCAGTCGTAATCTAAAACGATGATGTACTGTTCTTCGGGCGTACTGGAATTAAACTCGTGCGATCTGCTACCCAACTGTGTGATGTTCACTGTGAAGCCCTACAATCACATTTGGAATGAATTTAATAAAGGAACATTTTTGATTCTGCAATTTTCCCATATATTCTCCCGCTGCAGTCCACCACAACCTTTTATAATAATAATAATAATCATATTTATTTTAAAAAAAATTTTTTAGAACCTCATGGCATAGATTCAGCAAAACGCTGCTCTTCCATCTACACCATGACTTTTAAACAAGTTAAAAAAGTCATTATGCAAACATAAATGACGAGAGCGTATTTTCCTCCTAACAATATTCATGCTAGGACCAGGAAAAAATACCGGTAGGCACGAGATCCTTACGCCATTCTCTTTCAAATGAGCCGCCTATCGTGGAAGTCTATACGTATTTAATGAAAATTAGTGGAGCGTATACAAATACAAACAAATTTTGAAATGGGCAAGTTTTACTTTTATTCGAAGTGTCTACATATGAAACTTTTAGCATTGCGCATTGTCTGCATTAGAAATTTCATTAAATACCTTCATAAAAAAAACATGCAGCATGCGTAAACAGTAATTTTTAAAACCGGCATTAGTTTTAGTTTAATTCAAAGTGGCTACATATAATATTTCATTTAACTGCTTTCATAAATAAGAAAGTTGGTACTGCGCATGCGCAAAACAATATTTTGAAAACGTTAAATTTATTTATATTCGTAGTGTTCACATACAAAGTTTCATTTAAATATCTTCAAAAATAAAAAAGTTATAATAATAATAATAATAATAATGTCTATTATTAGTTACACATCTTGCAACAAAATTTATAACAGAAAAAAAAATTATATTTATCGTGCAACTAATTGGGCGAAGTTCATTATAAAGGGATGACACATGGCTTCTAATTATAAATAATAAAAACTAAATAATGAAAATTATTGTTGACCAGTGCGGTACAAAAATTATGAAATGATTATGGACGTAACGAGAATGATATTAAATAGGATTACTGTTACTATACAGGGTGATTC